CCCCCCAGCAAACATCCCTTCCCCATCGGGAAGGAGGGAAGAGCCGTATTCATACCGAGCTCAGCTCGGGCTCTGCTGCCCCACAGGGACATCCAGGGGTGGTGGGGACACCCAGACAGTCAGGGACAACAAACCAAGTCCTCTCATCTCCAATGTTTACTTGAAGGGAAGCTCTGCTGCCTAGAAACGCTCCAGTAACTCAAAACAAAGTTATTTGGCTTCAAACATCTCTCCGATTTATGCACTTCCCCACAGATAATATTAATCATCATCTGATACTGTCCTTTATTTTTGGTTATTAAAGCCTCTAAGGTGCCAAAGTATCCATGGAGTAGAATAGCAAGAAGTTTGCTGTTCTCTTCATGCTGATTTTCCTTTCTGCACATCTGTTCTCTGAACTTAGCCACTGGTTGATCAATTTGTTACAGAAGATGACAAACCCGCCACAAATATCTGCAAAGCTCAAACATTTAAATATCCACATAATTTGAAACAGGGCTGGTAATCCAGCACTCCAGAAAGCCAACATCAAGATTTAGATATTAGGAAACAAAATATTTTCAGATGCCAGCTGAAAGCTGACAGAGGCCAACTCAAAATACCCAGAGTAAATACTGCACAGGCTATGGAAGAAATTGTGCCAACCAAAATATACATCTGTAAAATATGCCAATTTTTACATACTTTCTTCTTTATAATGGACATAAGCAAATTTTTCATGTTAACCCTCACTCTTTCCAGCACTGAGAACTTGGAGAGTGGTTCTTTGAGGGCAAACTTACCTTGTTGATGGGGACAGGAACTTTGTGAGCAAAATGAAGAGTAGCCTGACTAGGAAATACTTAATGGCTTGACAGGACACTGGGTGGGTCCATATTAATTGGTGCATCCCATTTTATGGATCATTCAAAGGCCAATTTGCTCAGCAGGTTATGAGAACATTCACTAGCAGGAAGAATTCTATTATCTCTCATTTTACTGGAAAATATTAGCCTGAGCTCCATATAATTACAGCTCCAGAACAGGCTTATTTGACCTACTGAAGTCGACTACATGTCACATTTTCCTCGATAACTATTTAACACTAAGAAAAACCCATAGGTTTAGCTCTTATAATATGAAAATTTCTTTATGTCTCCTTTATGACTGCTTTACTCTGGACTTTTTAAACTTCAGAAAATCGTTTAATTTTTTAATTAAAGACTTTGAAACTTATTTTTACACTCACGGCAGTCTAAACTATTCAAAGAATATTCCCTTCTCCTTTTCCCAGCAAATGTTAAAATTCTTCCCCATCTTCCTCTCTAATATTCTCTCATGGGGGGGAAAAAAAAAAACAAAACAGTGGAAGAAAAAACATTGTAAGGAAATCTTTTTCCACACAGATTCAGCCAGCCTGGAATAAAGGTGGCAGCAATACCTGGTACATCACACACCAGATACACGATGATCTTCCTAAAATTATTTTGCACACAAGCAGGGCAGGGAGAGGTTGGGATTGTTCCCTGCATTGTCCTCCCAGACAAAGCCACAGTGTTCTGGTCACACTGGGAGATGGGAACAAAAATACTGCCCAAAACACAGAATGTTGTGCAGTGTTGGCTGTGCTGAGGACAAAGAGAATATCCCCACACAGGGGGTGGGTGCTTAGGAAATGGTAATAGGGCATATGCTTTACTTTCAGAAGATTTTACACTGCAAAAGAATGGAAGATGAATTGTGGGCGGCCTTTAATTTGAATAAGGTTAAACAGAGCAGTTCCCACTGTTTTGTTCAAGCAAGGTTAAAATGACATAATGTGGGAAAAAGTCACATCCTCAACCCGTAACATCTCCAGAGGAAGACTGGTACCAAAACAACTGTCAATTTGAGAGGGAAGGACTCTGCCCCAGCTTAATCAAAGGCAGTCTGTGCCTTTGATGCACTGCTCAACGTGCAAGGAGGAGAATGAAAGATGCAAGAACCCATCTGATATGCAGTGTTAACAGGGCTAAGCGTTTCTTTCTAAATTGAGCGATCAAAGTGAAATCCCAGTTGCTGCAGTGACTCCTGTGACAGTGCTCTCTGAAGTTTATACATGTGCTTTTATCAGAATGCTGAGCAGCAGAAACCAGCCACGACACCTCCCAGTCAGGGCTGTTCATGCAGAGCTGCCAGGACAGGGCAGGGGTGCTCAGCAGAAAGGTTATAAAAATCTGCACCTTCCCTCCCTCCCCTTCGTGCAGCTCTGAGAGCAAACACAATCTCTGAAGGCAGAACCGAATTTCAAGTCGGAAATCCCGGAAAAGAGCAAGTTCTCCACTCTTGGAAAAACCCAATGCCTTTGTTGGCACAAGATAAAGTTCTGTGATCTACACCTGGTACAGAATGAAGGTAATTTCTGTTACTTCAAACCTAAAACTGACTTGTGTTATTACTACAGTACCTGAGAGGATCAGTTGAGACGCTGCTTCCTGTTTCCAACGAAGTCCTGAGATGACAGCAAAAGAATAAAATTATAAAGTATTAAAGCATAAACTAAATTACAAGTATAAACTATTCAAAAATACTATGTCCTTAGTATTAAAGCATTAACTAAATTAAAAGTATAAACTATTCAAAAACAGCTTAAACATCAAGTGCTCAATGACTTTACATTTTCCTCCTCCTTTTTTCAGAATACTTAGCATGCCATTAAACCTGAGTGTAAAACCAAAAAATTCACAAGCAACAAACCCAGCAGCCCTTTCCTAGACTAGAGAGAGGGGAATTAGAGAACCATTTCCCTGAGTAAGTCACAAGACGATCAGTTTTCAATATTCCAAAGCACTCTACTCCTCTGCATGTGCTACAGGAGTGACAGTGCTTTGTTCTGTCAATGGCTGACACGAGTCCTGCTGTGAGCACCATTATACTGAGCTTTTGCAGAACCTGTCTCCTCCTTTCTGTGTGCACTTGGCAGGGAAATCCCAGCTCCATTCACGTGTGGAGGTGCAGGAGCTCAGGATATGCTGGTGCCAAAAGGCAGAGCAGCAGCAGGACAGGACAGTGCCCGTAACCCAAACCATGGTCATGGGAGAGCAGCTCTGTGCAGCTTCCAAGGACATGTTCCCAGCCTCACTGCTTTCATCCTCAGTCGATCCACTAAGCAAAAATAGCATGGAAAGGGGAACACTGGGCAAAATTCTTCTGCCAGAACCTCCTGCAGTTCAACCCTCCTCTCTTGCTGGCTCTGCTCACACTGGGCATCACATCTCCTCATTTATCTACAGCCATCCTCACGTTCTGTGGCTTTGTGTTCTCTACCCAAAAAGGCAAGGACAGAGTTGTCCTGAGGAATTATTGCACCAGAAAGTTCAGTTAAGATGCTGTAAGTCCTGAGTAAGTGCTCCGAGTAAGCTGATTGAGCAGCAATGTTTTAATGTGCCTGGTGTTACTAATTAGACCTGCTCTCGTTGAGCATGACTTCAGCTTTATTATACACATAATAGAAAATTACATTTTTAGGGTAAAGCCAGTTTTTCCTCAAGCTGTAATAAAACATTAGCCAAAGCCTCATCATGAAAACCACCATCATGTTAGAAAAATCTTTTGAATGGTTACTTGCACTTGATTCATTTATAATGAACAACCCTTACACCAGCAGCCATAGATCAACCTCTGCTCATATAGCCAGAAACATATATGGGCTGTGGAGGTTCATAACATTCACATAGGAATTGCATTAATTATATTTACAGTGGCTATTCATAAATCAATGGCAAATCTTTACTGTTAGTCCCAAGATTACCAATATGTTTACCAAAATAAACAGGGTGGTGTGAAGGGAGGAGGCCACAAACACAGCAAGAATCAGCTGTACAGGAGTGGAAACAAACCATATTGTCCAAATAGCTTTTAACTAGAGCACTTAAGCTTCAAAATAGCTTTTGGGAGCTTATTACACCCTGTAATTTGTTTGCTTGCACAGTTCAGGATTTGTGAATAGCGCTGAAGTTTGAGGGGGTGGCTCACATATGTCGTTTTGTGGCTGCTTGTTGGTTTAACAACTGAAAAGGGGAAGCCTAATTTACTTATAATTAAGTTTCCTGCTTAACACAGTGTGCTGTGGAAGTGCCAGCCTGGCTCGCTCTGTGGGACTTTTTGTCTTGCTTTAAACACAGGTTTTAAAAAAATCTTCACAGTTTGGCCCTTCCTACTATAAATAAATATTTCTCAGACGCCCTGTCTGTGCAGGGATGATGGGCTGTGCATAAATTAGAGATGCTAATGAGCAGTAATTAGCCTCCACCCCGCACAACCTTGATTGGGGTGCGACTGACACTGAGCACGTGGTGACCTCGGGGACTTCTCAGCCAGGCCCGAGGAGCAGGATTACAGCTTCATTAAAAATCCTTAGTTTTTCTTCTGAATGCAGACCCCCAGGGTGTCCCCAGCACCCAAACCCTGCAGTCAGGAGAGGCATAAATCTGTTTAAAAACACAGGGAACAGCACAGTCCCCACAGCAAAAATACCCGTCGTAAATCACCGAATCGTCAAGGTTGGCAAAGACCTCCAAGATCATCCAGTCCAACCATCAGTGTGACACTGCCTGGTCCACCACTAACCCACGGCCCCCAGCACCACATCCACACGTTTTCTGAGTATTTCCATGGATGGTGATTCCACCACTTCCCTGAGCAGCCTTTTCCAGGGCTTGCCAACCCTTCCAGCAAAGGAAGTTTTTCCTAATAGCCAATCTAACCTCCCCTGGTGCAATTTTGGGGCTGTCCATGCTGAGGCACAGCTGAAAGGTTATTTCTACCAAAACAGTTTTCTAGAAACTTCCCTGCTGCTGCTGAAAGCGGTTCAAAGTGTGATTGGTGACTGTTTGTGTCCTTGGTAACTGCAGATGAGGAGCCCAAACCACAGGAAAGCCACAGATTTAATCGATTTGGGGGCTGGCAGCACAGAGCCACCACAGCTGCCAGCATGCCCACAGAGTCCCATGGGCACCAGGGGCGTGGAAGGGCTCCAAGAGTTCATCTGCTGCCCGTGGTGGGCACCCATGGGGGGGCTGAGGGAGGGAGAGACCCCACTGCAGCTTTGGCTGTGTCCCCAGGGGCCAGGGAGCCCATCCAGGAGGACAGAGGCAGATGGTGGAGCATCTTACAGTCCAAACTTCCCATCCTTGCACAATTTCTTCCATCAAATACAGGAATGAAGAACTGATTTCACAGAATGTTCTGAGCTGGAAGGGACCCACAAGGGTCATCCAGTCCAACTCTTGCTGGATGGTCCATCCAAGGATTGAATCAAAGCAGCCCCACGGAGAAAGGCTTAGAACTGGTTTTCTTACACGAAGATCAGATATGGAAACACTGTCAAAAACAGGGAAAGCCACAGGAGAAACCCCTGGATGAGCTCCCCACACAGACCACTGGGGAGAAAGATGGAAATCAGGACACCCAGAAAGGCTCTAGCCCAGCCTTTTTACCTGGCCACCCACCCACAGACTCGCCCTGGCACTGTGGAAAACCTCAGGAGGGGTCTGACAACATGCCAACCAAAGTTCAGTGGCCAAGAAAAACACCCAGGAGAAATCAAGTTTAAAATGTACTGAAAGATCTGGATTTGGGGTACAGAAAATCAGTTTGCTTTTATTGAATTTACAGAATTATTTTAGTGTAATCACATAATCACTCCCCTTCTTTCTTTCCAGCTGAAGTCCCATTTAGATCTTTTGGTTTCGTTCCAAATTGCTGAAAGTTGGAAAGTTAATTTAAAACATAAAAATAACCCAGATTCTGAACACAATGTCGTTAAGCTACAGCAAACAAAACATCTCATTGTACACAGAGCCACTTCACAAATGTCAGGAAGAATGAAAATATATCTCTTTTAAGCTACTTCAAAACAAGCTTTATTTGTTTTGCTTTGCTTTTTAACAAATTAGCTGGACAGGAGAATAAAATACTGCATTAAAGAAAGTTTTCTCAAGAAAACGAGCAGGATCTGACAATCCTGTTTATTGCTAATGGGCACTGACTCAGGACATTTGTAGCCCAGAAAAAAAATACATACACTAGCTAATGATAAAGCTATTAAAAAGATACTATTAAAATAAAATAGACTTGTCTGTATGTGTACCATTTCCACTGGTATTAATAAAGATACTAAGAAAACCCCGAAGTACTCTGAAGTGTGGAACTATGCCCGAGGCTTTGAGTGAAAACGAGCTCAGACAGAGCACGACCACAGAGCACACAAACTGCACAACTGTTCTGTATTAGCAGGGAATGCTCTAAACCACCCTGGGAGCTGTTTTGTGCCTCCAGTTTGTTTCCATGGAGTTTGCAAGGCCCTTCTAGGTGAGGAGTTGAGGAAACGTGTCCCAGTTTGACTGAGGAGTCAGTCGAGTGACATCTCTTGGTCCTGTGAATTCCTGACGTTTTAGAGGAATCGTGGCATGAACTGGAACTGAACTGAGCACACAGGGCTACACCCAGTGGGATTATTTACTGCTAATGTGGGCAGCATGAAACTTGGAGAATGTGTGTGTAATTGGTGGTGATAACAACTGCTTTCAAGGCTAAAAGGATTAGACAAAGTATGGGTGCAGGCAAGTCCTGGATGAGCTCGCCTGGAGCTGCCATGTCCATCTGTCACACAGGAATCACAACCTGCTGCAGGACAAAATACAAATATTACCAAGAGATCGTTGGTCTAAAATTCAGACAGTTGATGGCTTGTTCAGCAGGCTTTAGGTACTCATAAACAAAAGAATAACCACAGTTCTAGGCAGGAGTTCTGCCCTGAAGCACAAAACAAGGCCACGGGCTCTAACTCCTGGTATTGGCACTACGTGGTGAGCAAACCCAAGGGTACAGGATTCCCAGCAGCAGGGTATCTAAAAAAATCTGATTCCACAATGTTTTAGCGGGTTCAAGTGAAAGGCACAATTAGCTCTTGGGACCTTGAGCAATGATACAAAGTTGTGGTTTATTTTGCTTTTTTGTGATGAAGGAAAAGATTAAAAAATCAGCATAGTTGAAGATTGTTTTGGGAAGGGTCTAAGATGGATCTCCCTATATTGTATGGGCACAGAAGGGGTAGGGAGTGAATACTGTGAGCTGACAGTCTCAAATGGTGCTTTGCTTAGCTGTGATAACACACGAGCAGTGCTATTGATCTGGGAGACAGACAGACCTTAAACTACTCTGTCCCTCAGTGGGGAGCAGTGACAGTGTGAATCATTGAGACATTTGGAAGATGTCAGTGTGACTGCAGCAAGCTCCAGTGTAACAGAACCACACTGAACTATGTTCTTGCTGAGAAGGATAAACAGGAAAAGTAATTTTCTAGTCCAGCATCGTGTCCACACTATAAACCTTTGTTAACCCTTGATGGAGGGCAAAGTTATATGGAGGTTCTTATTGGGCTGAGTGGGTAATCCTGTGAGAGTCCCCCCACTGTGATGGGTCAGTACAGCTGCCTCCCTTCCTCAGGGT